AGAGACTGATCACCCCTGGTTATGGGTGATGTTCCTTGAACGAGCTCACAATGCAACTAGGCAGTTTCAGTATTTTAGATGTCAATAGGATCGTTACTAGAATTGGTCTGATAATGACTAATTTGGGTGTGAGCAGGCCTAGGTTCATTAGCATCTGGAGCAGGGATTTCCCATCAGGCAGTGCTTCTCTGCTTTCAGTGTCCCATAGTTCACTGCGGTTCCTGCCTTGGAAGAGCTGCTCTCCATTCTGTATGCTAATGAGATGTCCCTCTGTTCCATCTTTAATGCAAATGAGGCTGGGGTGTTTCCTTAATTGTATCCCCCTTGTCTGAAGCAGCTAGGTGTGTCTTCCCCGGCCTTTTCTTTGCTTTGTCTTTGATTCTAGCAGAGGCCTGAGGGAGGGGGATGGTTTCCCATGAATGTCACTCCCTGGCTCCCCAAGAGCACAAGGCTGACAGGTGACCATGTTCTGGTTCCCCAAGAATCACAGAGCTGGTGGGTAACACCTGGCTTGCCAAGATCCAGCTCCTGAGGCTTGGGGCTCCCACCCCAGCATCGGGGAGCCCATGCTGGCGATCCATCCCTCCACCACCCCACTCCACGTAACATCTCTTAGCCTGAGCCCCTGTAGGCTCTGGTGTGCGAGGGGAATGGGGGAGTGTCGTTCTCCTTCTCCATCAGGGGCAACGTCAGTGAGGGTTGGGGTTTTATTGTTTTTGGGGAGGGGGGTTGTTTTATTTTCTTCTCACTTGTCTGCAGCCCCCGACTCATTGTCCTGTAGGTCAGCAGCTCCGACCCAAAAAGTTCCTCACCCCAGCTCTAGAGCATCCCTGGGTGCTACAGGCCCCCTCCAGCAGTAACAACAGGGATCTGAAAGCTAAAAAAAAGTCACACAAAGATCTCTGCCCTCAGGACTTTGTAGCTGAACGTTGCGGCCCACAAGCTGCACCTCCCCTGCTCCCAACCTTCAGCTTTCCTCATGTGGCTTCCTGACATCCCTCGGCTCCTGACGGGCCTGTTGGCACCAGTGCTGAGTCCGCCCAGCCCTCAATACGGGCTCCCGGTCAGGCTGTGGCAGCTCTCAGCCCAGGTCCAGAGCAGAGGGAACCCAGCTGTTGGGGGAGGGAACTAGGGCAGAATTATTGAGTGACAGGGAAGGAGACTAGTGGAGCGAACTTGAGGGGATGGACCTTAGAAGGCAAGGGGAGCAAGGGGGCAGGGCCTAGAGGGAACAGCAAGGGAAGGGGTGGGCAATCACGGTCCATTTATTAGCAGTAAGAAGGTCACAATCTTACGTGTTACTGGAACCCAGCTGTTGGGGGAGGGAACTAGGGCAGAATTATTGAGTGACAGGGAAGGAGACTAGTGGAGCGAACTTGAGGGGATGGACCTTAGAAGGCAAGGGGAGCAAGGGGGCAGGGCCTAGAGGGAACAGCAAGGGAAGGGGTGGGCAATCACGGTCCATTTATTAGCAGTAAGAAGGTCACAATCTTACGTGTTACT